GATTTTTGAAAATTGTTAAAAACTGAGTTATCTGTCTTTGCAAATGAACTATTCAAATATTCTTCAAAATATCTTCATGTTCCAAGTCATTCAGGTTTGCAATGATAAAAGATACAATTTTGTGTAAACTATCCTAATCTACTTAGGTAGTCCACAGCACTGACCTTTTTCTGGCTTGTTGCATAGATGCCATCAAGTTCCAGAATCATGTCAACATCACAGCCCAGTTTACCAAAGCTGTTGACAGAGGAGCCAAAAGGCCTGATAATGCATTCTGGAAAATATGCTCCAGCTATGTCTCGAAGCAGAGAACAAACAAGGAAGCGCAGACTTATGTTCTCTTCTGTGAGCTGCAAGGTCTCTGTCAGACACTGCAGTTGTTCATCTATCTGTAGAAGAAACGTGAAGAGAAGATACATATTTGAAGCTCCAACCAGCAGACATAAAAAGGAACTGCTAAACGCATCTCCCATTCCAATTTTTATCCTTTTCCATTAGCCACATCATATGTGTTTGTTTAAAAAAAATGAACATATCACCCAGAGAGGACTTACACTGTCCTTTTCCGAGAGCAGCTGAGTGATTTCATTGATGGATGGAGGGGACTGCTCTTTGAACTTGGGCATGGGATGATTGCTCGACTGACTGCCTGGCCATTTTAATGACAGCAGGCGAGATTTGAAAGGCACTGAAGCTTCATGTTCAACAGCTGGTATATTAGTGCTCTCCTTCAATGAGGCAATGCTCTCTCTGCTGGAGAATTCAACTACTGCATTTGCTCCCTACAGAAAGAGAAACACATTATAAGCACAACAGTTCTGTCAGTTTCAGATCTTTGTGATCAAGCATCACAAGATTTCTAGATATTAAATGTGTCACTATTCCTATTTGTAACTTATAGTTCTGCAGCACTTACGTAGCTATTGTAGAAGAAATGTCTGTTGATTGTCCCATGTTTAGACAGGTAATCTAAAAACTTCTTTTCGTTTATCTTAGGCGGACAGCTGATCAAAACAGACCTTTCAGCTTCTTCTCTTCTCTCCTCTTGGATTGCTTGAAATGTTTTACTCTCCTTGGCTTTCGTGAATAAAACGAAAGTGGAGCAAGAGGAAAGAGGCTCGAGTTATTGGACATGTAATGCACTTGTTATTTCCATCACGATTTTCACCACGAGACGACAGCTTGGTATTTATTTTTAACATAAAATGGCAGCTTTTTATTATTATAATTTTTTTTTACAGCTGCCATTGCTATTACTTAATTGAAATCACTTGGTAAATGTCATGCTTACAGTACTACAGTAAAACAATGTTAGTTACCGGCTTTCGCTGCCTTGTTCTCTGTCTGGGCTTTGATTGCTGATGTAGTCGAAGTGAATCTTACTTGCGTTTGAGGTTCCAGTCCAAGACCAAATTTATCAAGCCCCCCTAAAGCCCTGAAACGTAACCTACACACGCCAAAGGAGGCCGCCATTGTTGATTTGAGACGGGCGCGTGCGTACACATTGGCTCTACGGTGGCTGTGAACGGACCTGCAGTGCTGCGTTTCGCATTTGGAAAAACCCGAAAAGGCCAGGCTGGAGATCACCAAATTTCAAAATACCTACTTGACAAAAGCGTTGGAGATTTTGACCCATTTCTGAATACTTTGAATTTGCTTACTGATTCGTTTAGGGACTTTTTCTACAGGTTTACGCCAGTTGAGTAGGGTGACCATACGTGCCATTTTCCCAGGACGCGTCCGGGCCAGGATTTCTATACTGCCTAAAATATCTAGGTTTTGGCTTTGTTCGCGTGTGCAGACCGATCAGTGACATCAAAGTACCTCGAGAGCATT